TAAATTATTATTTAAATCACTTAATTTCTATCCTAAAGACCATATGATAAGAGAAATGTGTATATAAAAAATCTCAATAAAAATGATATCTGTGATTAATCAAAAATTATGAATAGTAATAATCTTATGCTTTGTAAAAATTAACCTTGTGCATAAATGAATTAAACCAATAAAAAAAAAAAAATTAGTGAAAAAAATGTCCCATATAATAAAAGTGACTTTGTGCTGAAAAATCTTCAATCTATATTGATTATATATCCGTGACTGCTTGTGAATCCTCCCAAGAGTGAAGATGTACGCTCACCTCATTGGAAGCCTGCAATTAGGCTATATAAGCATTCGGTTCTCCTCCTTTGGAACCTACTTGTTAGGAACTCTTGCTTTGAGATAATAGATATCCGTAGTGAACGATATATGCTATGGGATGAATCACTTCTCCAGAGGATGCAACTCCTCTATGTTCTCATCTCCATGCGGTTCTCCACATATAAAAAAGATCTCGACATGGTGCTTTATCTTTTATAAAGATCGGCTTTATTTGCTGAGAATATATGGCACTCACATATATTGTGTTCAGACAGTGGTAACTCGAATACGATCCGAAATCAAATCCCCCTGATGAAGCCACGTGACCAGTGGCGTAACGCGTAGGGGTGGGACTGTAACGTCACTCGGAGGGAGTCAGTTCGTTTGTCGGACCACGGGTGCACAGCTCCGACAGTCAGCGGAAGTTTCGGGATCGTATTCGAGTTACCACTGTCTGAACACAATATATGTGTGAGTGCCATATTCTGAGCAAATAAAAGCCGATCTTTATAAAAGATAAAGCACCATGTCGAGATCTTTTTTATATGTGGAGAACCGCATGGAGATGAGAACATAGAGGAGTTGCATCCTCTGGAGAAGTGATTCATCCCATAGCATATATCGTTCACTACGGATATCTATTATCTCAAAGCAAGAGTTCCTAACAAGTAGGTTCCAAAAGGAGGAGAACCGAATGCTTATATAGCCTAATTGCAGGCTTTCCAATGAGGTGAGCGTACATCTTCACTCTTGGGAGGATTCACAAGCAGTCACGGATATATAATCAATATAGATTGAAGATTTTTCAGCACAAAGTCACTTTTATTATATGGGACATTTTTTTCACTAATTTTTTTTTTTTTTATTGGTTTAATTCATTTATGCACAAGGTTAATTTTTACAAAGCATAAGATTATTACTATTCATAATTTTTGATTAATCACAGATATCATTTTTATTGAGATTTTTTATATACACATTTCTCTTATCATATGGTCTTTAGGATAGAAATTAAGTGATTTAAATAATAATTTATTAATTGAGGTTTGGGAGCGCAACACTATATGAGTACAATGACAGTGTATATTATTAGCAGAAATCACTGTATTATTGTCACTGGAGAGCGTCATTTAGTCAGTCCCCCCCCCCAGCGTTAGTTGTCAGATTGCCTGCCACACAATCACAGTCCCACTATCGGTGCAGATACTAAATATTTGCACGAGAATCAGCACTTGTGTAAATTCTCTGATACCTGAAACTGATACCTTCAGGCTCGGTTCTTTTAGCTGTCAGCGGAAAGTTTTGAAAGTTTTTCTATTTACACTTTTTCCCTTTACACTTTTTTTTTGCTGCCAAATGCATTCTGAAAAATTCAGAGTTCAAAGTCCAAATTATACGTTTATACCAAAAATTTTGAGGGATCTACTTTACAGAATAGAGTCACCTCAGGGTAGTTTCTCGAGTCCTGCTACTTCTGAACCACTGTAAATGCAGTTTAGTGCCAAAAAATTGGGCAATGTGTGAGCTCATTGACACAGACCTGCAGCAGCTGCCGACTTCTCCTCTTGCAGTGCACCACACTGCTTGCCTGCACCCCTCTCCTGCCTTCTCCTGGCCCTGTGGGCGGCCGGGCCCCCTCGGGATGTTCGGGCCCCCTACATTTGTATCGGGTGACTCCCCCTGATGGCGGCCCTGCATAGGTGTAGTAGAATAAAGTTTTTTATAGCATCATTACCTACTTATATTCATAGGAACCTGAAAAAAAAACTAGAAGCATCAATTTTTTTTTTTTCTCTAATTTCAAGTAACTCTAATATAAAACTATTAATTACAAATGTTCAAAACATTTACAATCTAATACTTAAGTTTTCTGTTCAAAATGGTGCAATTTTTTGAGGTCTTTAAATATATTTTTGGGCGCCTTTGGTGTCATGTCATAGTGTGAGAAAAAAGCTTTGTAAATAAAATCTATTATGTACGCCATAATTTCTACGTATATGTTTCCCCATAACTTGGAAACCAAACAGGTAAATATACTTTTTGATTTTTAGGCAAATTAAAAAAATTTAAATTGAACACTACCCCTCGACTTTTACATTTTTGTAAAATGGTCAACATCAACAGAAAATAACTTTTTTTCATTATTTTCAAATTTTTTTTTTATAATTTCTAAAAGAAAAGTATATTATTTAGAGCAAGGGACTCCAAACTGCGACCTGAGGGCCAGATGTGGCCCTTTGCTGGCCTCTATTTGGCCCTTGGGGCACTATTTCACACAATGATATGAGGCACTTTTACTCCCACTGACGCCAACAATAGGACACTATTTCTTCCACAGATACCAATGATGGGGCACTATTCCACCCATTAGTACCAATAATGGGACACTATTCTTCCTCCTACTGACCACCAACCCTGAGGCTAGGATTATTTTCACTGATGCTGGTTTTCTACCCCCACTGGCCACAATCTAGCCCCCCTAAAGTCTGAAGGATAATAAACTGGATCTTTGTTTGAAAAGTTTGGAGCTGCTGATTGCTGGTGCAATGCCTTAGAGCAGACATCAATAAATGGTGGACCGCGGTCTGGATCCGGACCAGGTTACTGTCCCTTCTGGACCAGCCGCAGTCCCAACAGTTAAGAGTCAACTCTTCCGCTCAGTTCCCATCACTGCTGTCATCCTCATCCAACTGGCATCGGAGGCCTGACAGCTCCCAATGGACGGCGGGGGCACATCAGTGTACAGCTGACATCGGAGGCAAAACAGCTCCAGATGGACGGTGGGAGGCACATCAGTCTACAACAGACATTGGAGGCTCTGGATGAAGGGCGGGAACTGTCACGCTAACATTTCAAGTTAAACAGCAGATAATTTGTTGCAAGCAACCAATCACCTGCTGGTTATCAGATAAAGTTGTGCAGCTCCCACTGTACATCTGAACCTGTAGTGCCTCCAATGTCAGCTGTATACTGAAGTGCCTCCCCCACCTTCTGCCCTTTGTAGATAGGAGATGAAAGGGAACTACAGTCACTTCTGTGAAGGATTTGGGGGAAGCCGAGGATAATGTGAAAGGGGGCAGAGGAAAGGAATCTGGAGGAGGAGGGGGGTGATATAGAGGGGAGGAGCTGAGGACAGGAATGGGGATGAGTGAGGACAAGAATGTGAAGGAGGGTGAGGACAGGAATTTAAAGGAGGAGGCTGTAATAAAACGGGGCAGAGGACATAAATATGAAAGAGGAGGTGGGGGTGATACAAAGGGGGGGGGAATGACGACAGGGATTTGAAGGGGGTGATACGAAGTGGGGCTGAGGACAGTAATGTGAAGGAGTAGAGGGCTGATATAAGGGAGGCAGAGGACAGGAATGTGAAGGTGAGGTGATATTAATGGGGGGATTGATGCGAAGGAGTGATGTTGATGTAAAGGGGATGGAACTGTGATGTAAAAAGGGGAGTTGTGATGTTCCCGGTAGGGGTCTAAGAACACTGTTGTAATAACGGGATTGTGACTTAAAGGATCTGAGGGTAGGTTCACATAATTGTTACCTATGTTCTGCATGTAGGCAGCCTATTCATTTCAATGGGCTGTCTTGCATGCAGAAATGCAAAAAAAAAAGACGTCCCTGACCCTTTTTTTAAATTGCGCTGCACATGCCGAATTTGACGATGTTTTAAGGTGCCATTAAGAATCAAACATGCAATTCGGACCACAGCTGGAAGAAAATATATTAGTGACTGGACCTCCATGAATTTTAATTCAATACCCCGGCTTTAGAGGCTTCAGAAACAAAAAATTGAAAACGCACATTTTTTTACCTGCAAAAATGTGCATTTATTATTTTTTGTAAAAAGGTGAACTTATCCTTTAATATTCTTGCATCCAAGAAGGATACAGGAGAGGGCACATCATTGGAGCTGGAGGTGTTCCCATATTTCTTGTCTGATGGTGCTAATGCAGTCTCCCCTACCCTCCCTCCCCATTGGCTTTACTCTCTGATGCCTTAGAACCAGCAGTAAACCCCTCATGAGCCCCAAAGCATATATAATGTTCCAGTAGCTATGCAGCCCAAGGTCAAGTCATACCTCACCCCATGCAATCTTCGGTCAGGCAAGGTTGTTTTTGTCAAAGGCAGTAACCTGCTGGCTACTTTTGCCTGAGAAAAAATATGCATATAGCTTGCCTTTGCCTGGCACATGTCTAGTAGTGTAATGGTTTCTCAAGAAGTTCCCTGGTTTCCAGAAATGCATGCCAGCATCAACTGCTTGCCACATAAGCAAACACAGAGACCTTTGTCAATTTAGCAATCACAAACCTGTAAAAAAAAGTCACTTTTGTGACTTATCTTATCTGAATGTTATGCCAACAATTTATGCAAGAATATTTCTGAGTTACCAGAACCTGCTTTATTTCTGAGATTTGAAACCCCTAAATATTAAAAATGCATAGGAACCAGTCAAGTCCTAGCCTCAACTTGCTCAATTAGGCTTTGGCAGAAAAACCTGGAAGCTGATTGAATATTGAATTCTATGCAGAAGTGATCTTGATTTTGCACTCTTCAGCTTTAGTAAATAAAAAATAAACCCCTTATGTTTAAGGCTGTCCAAAGGTGGAAAAGGGTAATGGTGTCCATTGAATTTGTCAAACAGAAACTTAGGCTAGGTTCATACTAGCCTGCAAGCTGCAGGAATCACATCCCAGGGGCGGACTGACCATTTCGAAACTCGGGCACTGCCCGAGGGCCCAGGGTCAGTAGGGGGCCCCATGAGATGCCCCTGGTACCTTTTTCATAGGCTTTTTTGAGTTTGGGCAAGGACACAGGGGCCCCATGATCCGCTATTGCCCGGGGCCTCCATAAGTTGTCAGTCCGCCCCTGATCACATCTGTTCCCACACGTGCAACCACCTGCGGCTGAATTGCATTCTGAATAGTACCCCCATGCATCTCAGCTCACAGCGCAATCATGGGTGTGGGAACCACAGGGAAACCACATGGCCAAAAAAGACCATGCTGTTTTCCTGAGAATGCGTTTTTGAAAAGGTGCACCTTTTTCTTGCTGGAAACATGGACACAGCTACCGTGCCCATGCAAACACGGGCTGCGTGGTGCACTAGTGTGAACCAAGCCTGAGTTGGATCATGATTAATGACAAGCTGAAAAGTTTGCCATGTAATGCAGGCCATAGACGGGACATTTATCGGCCGCATTTTCATCCGAACGAAAAATCGTGCAATATTCACGCCGTTAGTGCGGCAATGTCGTCGGCCAATTTTTGTGGGTCTTTTAGTTTCTTCTTATCGGTCATGCTGGAAAATCTGTAAAAAACTGACATTTTTTCTAAGCATTGGTGGCAGCATTGGTGGAAGCAACGACCGATTTTTCGTTTATCGGCCGACAACTCGGTCGATAAACGTCCCGTCTATGACCTGCATAAGTCAAAAAAGAAATTCAACTAAAGATGGGACCCATTAATCCAATATTCTTCATAAGAGGCTCAGGAGAATTAACTCCTTTCTCTTTATTTCCTCTTTTGACTATTATCTCTGTTCATGCTTATGTTCTTTTCTTTTTTAATACCTTCTTCCCATTTTTCTCTTTTGTCTTTAAGGTGGACCCCTACTTTGACCAAAGGGGATAAGCCTATTTTTATGCAGATTGAGACCTTTTTTGGTAACCCCACTGAACAATCCCATCTGCACTGACATTGAATGCTAATGACAATGCATGCTACAGATAAGATGCCTCAGGAATAACGTGATTATCTAATTAAGGTGCCTGTTGGTGTAAATGTGGGCTCATAAATGACATATCATTGCTACAATATTTTTTGTAACTTTGTAATTATTATGTTTATATTCTTTGATACTGACATGTCTATGATAGACAAATACACTTGTTTGTTAACTGCTATTATCTGAAAAACCTAAAAAAAAACACACATTTAAATAAATTATATTTAAACATACCTTTCTATTTGTTAAAAAGGGAAGATGTAGTATAACAGGTTCATTTTTTTAGCATGTAATGAAAAGTGTAACACTACTAACACAAAGATCAGTTGTATTTCTAATACAGCAAATAAAGGGTATCTACTCTAGCTTCCAAGTCATGCCTCGGCTTTGTTCCCATAATCATTAGACTTTCCAATGTAATCACAGCTGCTTTTGAAATGCATTCAAATTCTTCACATTTTTAAAGTTCAGGATGCTACATATTTAAAAGTTAGTTGATCTTTTTCATAACAAAGAGACAGTTTGGTCATAATGGGATTTAAATAGGATTTTGATACAAATGCATGACTATTCTCATTTTATTTCAGGTGAGACATCTGTAGCAAGCGTCTTTGTTCTCAGTTCTTGAAAATTCTTTTAAAGTGGAACTCAGTCAAGGTATCAAGGTCAATGGTCAAGCATCCTTTGTTGTCCTAGGGCTTCCTCTACCACTACAGGTACAGGTTAATAAGTCTGTTTTATTTTCAACCTCCATTAACAGGCCAAGCTTTCCAGCATAAGTAGCCATTAGTAGCCATTTAACACTTTTAGGGATGCTTACAGTGGTCAGCTTTTACTTATATAGTTAGTTAAAACCTTTATCCTAAAAAAGAAAAAAAAAACAACGTGCTGTAACAGCTGCAGTTAGGCTTTAGTTAATGGTGTTCATAGGGTGCTTTGCAATCGTATGACCTCCAGGAGAAAAGGATCTTGGGCATCCAGTGGAGGGAAGGGAGACCAGATGACATGGGAGCACGCTGTGCACTGGAGCAGCTCTTCAAGAGTGGAAGCAGACTCTAGTAAAGTAAATAGCAAGAAAGGAACCTCTAAAAGGAAGGAACCTCTAAGTGCAGTATGCAGCAGTTTATTGAGTAGTAAAGGTTAAAAGCACTTACAAGATAGCAGTCAGATAAAAGCTCATCAGGTAAAATACCAGGGAGGACACACTGAGCCGTCCAGCGGTAGTGAGTGTGGTGGAACGCACGGGCAAGATGGCCGCCATACTTCTAGGAGAGGCGTGGACACACACACCGGAAGTGACATCAAGCATCAGGGGGGCGGTAATGCATTTTGGAGCATGTGCAGACACTCCTTCCTCAGACCGTGATCCCCCGAGATAGGAGCCACTACTAAGTAGGGTCGGTAACTGTAATAATGAACAAAGCAACCAATCAAAATGGGTACATTGAAATTAATTGGTCTCCAAATATTTCTCACACCGACATCAAAAGAATTGCATTGGCATTACAAGTAAAGAGCAAAAAAAGAGAAATATATATACTGTACATACATACTGTATATATACAAACAGACTAAGTGAGTACATATAAATATACATACAATGGCTGTGCATAATATATATAAAAAACGTATCTATAATAAGGTGAGATAAACTTTTTTAACTGACAATAAAAATAAGAATAATTAGAAAAAAAATACAAACACAGGGAAAAAAAAGCGGATGCGACATGGCCTCATAATATAAACACATCCACTTACTATTGTAGTATTACTTGTCAATAATTATCATGATAGAAAGAAGAACACGAGGACCCGCCCAAGAATATTGTTTTTTTTCTAATGATATCCGGCTTGCTACCCAATTTCACAGTTGTCATAAACAGATGGAAAGTGTTCTAAGGAAACACTTGCCCCTATTATTGCAGGATCCACATCTCGAACACCAATTACCATGTAAACCTTAATTTGCATATAGAAAAGCACACAATATTAAAGGCAAAGTGGCCTATAGCAAACTCAAGCCCAAAACTAGTTACTTCTGGCGTGTGTGTTCCACGCCTCTCCTGGAAGTACAGCGGCCATCTTGCCCGTGTGTTCCACCACACTCACTACCGCTGGTCAGCTCACTGTGTGTCTTCCTGGCATTATACCGGATGAGCTTTTATCTGACTGCTATCTTGTCAGTGCTTTTAACCTTTATTACTCTATAAACTGCTGCATACTGCACTTAGAGGTGCCTTCCTTGCTATTTAGTTAGGCTTTAGTTAGTCACTTTTGAAAAGACCATGTAAATCTACTTGTCTATATAATATTACCCTCTTCACAGGCTGACAGTGCTGCTGTCTATGGGTGGCTTTTTTACTGCTCTATAGGTACTGTATATTGGAAGAGTGAATGTAGCCCTCCTAAGACAGGATGTGTGTTACCTGTCACCAGGAGAAAATAATTGATAAAATGCATAAAAAAGAAAACGAATGCAGGTGACACATCTAAGGATTCATAAGCTGATAATACAGTATATAAAATTTTTGTTTTGGGTTTAGATATGTTTTAAAGTAGCAATGCAAAATGTAAACCTATGGAAAATAAATCAATGTCAATTTTGTGCATTGAGTAAATACCTTTATATGTATAGATCTACTTCCATAGCATTTAATAAATCACTAAGTAATCAATTTACCCACCCAATTTTATAAGTACAAAATATTAGTGTTTATTATATCCTGAAAGCTAAAGCACTTGGATAAATAAAAATTATCTTTAAATTAAGATATTGTATAGACTACACTGAAGTAATGTACAATTTGAAATTGCAAGAAAAAATGAAGTTATCGGTGGATGTACAGTACATTTGAAAAACACTGATTAGTGTCTGTAGTGGGTAAGAAAATGTCTTGCACTGTGCCAGAAAGTGAAGTTAATTGCTGCAATGCTTTGATGCTTAAAAGTTTCCATGGCAGCAAAATGCTTAAAGGGAGGGAGAGCGGAGGATGGATGCTGACAGGCAAGTTTTTTAGAGAAAGAATCATGCTCTGCTAACAGCCAAAATTGTAGCTTTTACTCCAACATTATCTGATTGAGTTTTTTTTTTTTAATGTGCATTTGTTAAAGTGCATAGAGAAGCTTTACATTCAATTCTATTCATCTAGACCTAAAATGCACCTTTAAATATTGCATAAACAAGCTCATGCCTAGTTAAGTGAAATCATGCAGAAGGTAGTAAGAGTAACAGTAACACTAATACTAGAGACAAAGGAATCTGCCAAGTTTTAGATTTGACTCGGATTGGGCTAGTTTGCTTAGTAAAGATTTACCCCTAGTTCACATATATGCGGCCGTGTGGGCCGCATTTTGCACGGTCACGAGAGCCCATTCATTTGAATGGACTCCCGTGCCCCGGGACACGCAGGGAAGCAGCCCCTGCACTTCTTTGGAAACCACAGCCTGCACGGGAACCTCGGTTCCCAGTGCGTTTTGGATTTCCAGTGCAGGTGGTATGCCATTAAAACTAATGGTACCCGCCAGTGGGTCCGCATTTTTCCGTGCGGGCTGCACGGATTTTTGTGCGGATCCGCAACGGCACCACCCTCACATGTGTGAACCTAGCCTTACAAGGATGTTTTTAGTCTTTGTAACAGTTTGTAGCAAAGTGATCTGTGCCATTGGGCCTGATTTACTACTGCTGTTGTAAGTCCCTCAAGGCTGCACTAACTTGCAGACATCTAAATGACCATATTGCCCATTGATGAAGCTCTGTATGGCTGTTGACAACACGGCATAGAAACTTGGGGTGGAAATGCTAAATTCATGACTGCAGTTTGGAACATGCCTGTGGTTTCTAATAATACAATAGTGCTCTACTTCTTAAAACGGAGTGTATATGCCAGGGATGGACTGACCATTCGAGCACTCGGGCACTGCCTGAGGGCCCGGGGTCAGTAGGGGGCCCATGAAGATGCCCCTGGTACCTTTCATTGGCTTTTTACTAGGCTTTTTTGGGTGTGGGCGAGGACATAGGGGCCCTATGATCCCTTATTGCCCGGGGGGCCCCATGAGTTGTCAGCCCCGCCCCTGGACTGGTTGCTTTTCAGAAGATTGATAGGCAAACAGGTAAATTAAAGTACTTTTTAGTCTTAAATTATGACCAACAGACTGGAATCCAACAGTACCCAACAGAATCACGAAAGAAGGCAAGATGGAAGAGTGGCCACATGCACATGTGGTAACAAGCAAGGGCGGACTGACAACTCATGGGGCCCCCGGGCAATAGGGGATCATGGGGCCCCTGTGTCCTTGCCCAAACTCAAAAAAGCCTATGAAAAAGGTACCAGGGGCATCTCATGGGCCCCCTACTGACCCCGGGCCCTCGGGCAGTGCCCAAGTTTCCAAATGGTCAGTCCGCCCCTGGTAACAAGCCTGCAATTTTACATCATCCTTAATGCTTGTCCATGGTGAAATACCTAGATTCTTTGTCAAGTTTGCTTGAGATGCATGTCCTCTTGGTAGAAATATAGAGGCTGACATTACAGCATTTCTTTAGTAACAGCTTCATCTCTGATGGATATTCTGATGCTTTAGCATCAATGCGGTGTACTTACCTAGAACAAATATAGAATTAACTCATTCTGACACTTCACATTCTCATTTCCATAATGTTATTTCCAGGTTTGAATGTTAATCTGAATCCCTTTTAAGTCAATGTGAGCAGAATCTTTAATTCTGGCCATTTTCAGGGCTAATATTCAAAGGATTGTCAAAGCAGGCAATGGGGAGCTGGGCACTCCCCTGAGGGACAAGTACCAAAGTAAAAAAAAATGTTTTTCCTTTTTTAAATTTCTTTCAGCATGTAGCAGCTCTTTAATTACTTCTTGGCCACTTTATAGAAGTTTTACTGCTACAAGGTGGCTGCTCTGCGCAAAATCACGTAAATATACACTACATAATTTTGTATTTCTGGGTAGGGGGAGGAGCGGCCCTTCCCACACCATCATTGGCTCTCGAAGATGTTAACCTCTTCCATAAGAGGCACTTTTACCCCCTTCCTGCCCAGGCCAATTTTCAGTTTCAGCGCTCTCACATTTTGAATGACAATTGCGCGGTCATACAACATTGTACCCAAACTAAACTTTTTATCATTTTCTTCACACAACTAGAGCTTGCTTTTGGTGGTATTTAATCACCACTGGGGTTTTTATTTTTTGCTAAATTAACAAAAAAAAGACCAAAAATGTTGAAAAAAACGTTTTTCTTTTGTTTCTGTTATAAAAGTTTGCAAATAAATAATTGTTCTTCATAAATTTAGACCAAGATGTATTCTGCTACATGTCTTTGGTAAAAATAACCCAAATTAGGATGTATTTTTTAGTTTGTAGGAAAGCTACAGAGTTCACAAACTATGGGATATATCTGAATATTGATCAATCCTGAAGTACTGACAGCCAATCTAATTTCTTGAGGTCCAAGAATGTCAGAACAGTACAGATATCCCCAAATGACCCCTTTTTGCAGAGTAGACAGTCTGACGTACTTAATAAGAGGAATGGCGAGTTTTTTAAGTTGTATTTTTTTGTCATACTTTCTCGGAAAATGAAAAAATGTAAAAAATTATTTTCACTATTTCCTTTTTACATATTGTCACCAGTGCAGTACAGCGTCATCATATAACTGGGATGGCGGTGATCAGGGACACTAACTGGTGACTATGAAAAAAAAAATATATTTTTTTTTTTTATTATTATTTTTAATTTTTTATTACTTTTTTTTCTTTTTTTAAGATTTTATTTTCATATTTCACTATGACCAAAGTAGTACAATGTTACCATAGTAACATTGTACTACTTTGGGGAAGTGATCAGTTTTTTTTTTTGGTTTTTTTTTTGCACAATTTGCTTATAGCAAATAATTACTTTGCTATAAGCAAGTATTTACCTGAATGACATCGATTCATTCAGGGTTTTTTTTTTTTGTGCTTAGCTATGATTTGGCCACGGCTAATCACATGACACAGCTGGGCTGTGATTGGCCCAGCTTGTGCATGTGATCGCTGTGACCATTCACAGCTAGACACACTAGTATACAATGGATGGCATGAATGAAGCCATCCATTGTATACAACTGTCATGTGACCTGCTGTGATTGGTCACAGCAGGTCACATGGTAACCGGCAACGGGGCCGGTACTCAGATCTGTCATCGGCCGTGTCCGAAGTACACAGCGGTGACAGATCGCACCGCTGCGCGGCTTTGCAGGTGCGCAATCTGCGCATGCCCGAAAGGACGCCATATGGGGTCCACCCGGAAAGGTAAGGGTTTTTGGCGGCCACCATTTTGCCAGAGTCCGGGCGGAAAGAGGTTAATCACTGGGTCCCACATCCCATCAGTTAGTGTCAGAATGCCTGCTGCAGTCCCACTATAAGTCGCTGATTGCCGCCATTACTAGTATATAAAAAAAAAATTCCAGCATATATACCACCATTTGTAGATGCTATAACTTTCATGCAAACTGATTATTTTACACTTAAGAAATGCAACAGAAAACATTTTGGCCTAAATTTATGAATAAAATTTATTTTTATTTACTTTACTATTTGATATGTTTTATAGCAAAAAGTAAAAAATATTGTTTTTTTTTAAACTTTTTTTTTCATTTATAGCACAAAAAATAAAAAAAAACTGTGATACTCAAATACCACCAAGAGAAAGCTCTGTTTGTTTGAAAAAAAAAATATAGATATATATTGTGTACATTGTTGCATGACTGTGCAATTAATATTATTGTTATAATACAGGATTTATATAGCGCCAGCAGTTTGCTCAGTGCTTTACAAAATAAAGGGAGACAATATAGCAACAATACAGTTCAATACAAGAGGGTTAGGAGGGCCCTGCTCCTTGGAGCTTACAATTGCCAGTTAAGTAGTGCAGTGCATGCCGTATAGCAAAAAATTGGCTTGTAATAAAGAGGGGTAAATCTGCCGGAGGGCAAATGGTTAATGATGCTGAAATGCGGAAAAGAATGCTTTATTCCTTTAAACAGCATGCTTGAGGGATACCCTAAACCTGCATGTGAAGTGGATTTTCTATAGGATGTACTACAGCAAAGTATCATGAACACTTGACAAAAATAAAAAAAAAGAAGAGAAGCTAGCTAAACACAGTACCAAAATGTATTTGGCTGTGGATGTGTGTAGCAAAGCAGCATATAATGGAATGGTGTCCTTTTGGGATAAAGGTTTAACTAATATATGTATATATATATATATATATATATATATATATATATATATATATATATTATCTGACCATTGTAAGTGTCTCCAGTTTTGAATTGTTTGTTTGAACCATCCTATCGCCATTTTTGTTAGATAGCTTGGTGTGTCAAAGGAAATTGAAAAACAACAGACTCAAGCTGGATACACACTGTCCGAATATCAGCCAGTTCAGCAGGAACCATCTAATATTTGGACCATGTGTACACATGTCCTTCCGACAGAAGCTGTTTCTAAGGATTGGCTTTTGTTGAAGGGACATGCTGGAAAACCAGCATCTGAGCAGCACTCTCAGCCAATAGCTGGGACCACTGTTAATATGTTCTGGCAGGGGGTAGTCCCCCTTTCAGAACACAAAGGCACAGCACGAGAAATTGTTGCAGTGACATCACTTGTGTTAGTACAGCGATCTATTTTTTTTTTTCGTTCAGCCTGTTGGATTGAACAAAAAAATTGAATTTGTGTACCAGGAATTACTGCAGCAGTAGGTGAAAATAAAGAAAAAAAAAGACTAAGAAAGTAATGCAGCTGCCACATTGAAGAACTGGTAAGATGCAATATATTACAATTCTTTTTTGGGTTTAGATACGTTTTAACTGTGTTGTAGTATATTTGCCTATAAGTACAGAAGGGAGGTTGCGTGTAACAATTTCTATTGCTTTAGTGTGTTTAACTTCTTAAGTTTATAGCTCTGTCCACACTTGTCATTTCAGATGTGACTTGAGTTGCACAGAATCGCATGACAATGGAAATCACATTGTTTTTAATTATGCCTATTCATATCAAAGCAATTCAGCGCTGGCGATTTTGGAAAAGGTTGCTGTAAGTTGCATCCAAGTTGCACTACATAATATCGCCTAAAAATCAGATCGAAATTGGATTGCAGCAGTGTGAAACTAGCCTAAACACTTAATCCTGCTCACAGCTGTTTTCTATGAATCCCTTCAGGACTTAACCACTTCATCTTTTTGGTTGGTAATGCAGGCCATAGACAGGTCGAAAACCGTCCGTTTTAAAAAAAAAAAAAAATTGGTCGTTCAATAGGCGGACGTTACCCACCAATGGTAAAAAAAATCGGCCAATTTTCACCCTGTCTACGGCCGCATTTAATTACTTCTGTCCCTTGCAGAGAGCTCCGCTATTATATTTGACATGAAAAAAGTCTTGCGGTTGCAACAATGTATCCATTTGTATCCATTTCGGATACAGGTGTTTTTATTCGGATACAAATATTATTATTTTATTATTATTATTATTATACAGTATTTATAAAGCGCCAATAGTTCGCTCAGCGCTGTACATTACAAAGGGAGACAGAACATGTGACAGAACAATACCAATACAATGCAAAACATGAGGGGATCGAGGGCCCTGCTCTTTCGAGCTTACAATCTAGAGGGAGGAGGGTGGTGGCACAGGAGGAGATAGTGTGGGGGATGGAGTGGTAGGAAGAGTGGAGGAGAGGTCGGCAAGTTAGCAGGGGGTGGGGTAGGCTTCCCTGAAGAGATGGGTTTTCAGGGTGCGCCTAAAGGAGAGGAGAGTAGGTGATAATCTGATGGGTTGGGGCAGGGAGTTCCAGAGGATGGTGACACCCTGGAGAAGTCCTGGAGGCGGGCATGGGAGGAGGAGACCAGGGGAACTAGAGAGAAGGAGGTCTTGTGAGGAGCGGAGTGTGCGTGTTGGGCGTACTTGGATATTAGGTCAGAGATGTAGTACGGGGCAGTATGGTGGACAGCTTTGTACGTCAGCGTTAGGATTTTTGAATTTGATCCGTTGCGCAATCGGA